GTGTCCTTACAGAGGTACCCTTGCGGAGTCAACCTCATGGCAATGGCTCCCTGGTGATGTCCCTCTTGGTTACTACCTTTTTCCCCTTTATAATGAGTTGCAGGTGTCTGCAGCAATTCTTGGGATGATGGGCAGCAATTCCTCACACCAGTCCTCAAGTTAATGGACAGGAAGAGTCTTAGCTCTTCCCCATTCATCCCTCAGGCAATGTATGGTGGGGTCCCAGTTCAGCTCTTCACACCCTTCTCCCAGGCAATGGATATTGGAGTCTTATCTCAATTCCTCCCACCCATGTCTGAGGCAAAAGACAGGTGGATTTCCAGCTCAGCTTCTCAGACCAGTCTTTGAGACAATGGACAGACTGATTTCAGATCAGCCTCTCATGGTGTGCTTGGCTCTTCCTCGCTCATCCTTCTTCCTCTTACTGGATCCAAGCTGTTGGTGCAGGTAGGCAGTGCTTCCCACCCTGCTGATGCTGGATGGAGTCAGGATTTGGGATGTGGCTCAGGGCTGGTGAGGGTGGGAGTGCAGAGTCTGGGTACCTCCCCCAGAGTCAGATCAGCCTCCCTCTGGCCAGGCCAGAGGGTTTTTGCTGGCATCTCTCAGGCAGCAGGGAATTTGGAACTAATCAGCATCACTTCTGCTGGGAAAGGTGGAAAACCAAGGCAGTGCCGTTGCTATGGTTGCTGCAGACTGTCCTTGATGCAACGCCATGTCAAGCAGCACTGCAAGCAGATGTGCTGCAGCTGGAAAACAAAGCAATTCTCCCAAGTATGAGCATGGCATAGCAGGACACGCTCACTGTCCCCTCTGCTCCCAGAGCCTCCCCTGGGATGCTGGCTCTGCCCTTGACTGCATGTCCATATGCTGGACCCTCCCTGGCAGCAAACCCCAGCAGTGAAAGCAGTGCTGGGGAGGAGGAAGCAGGGCACTTCACCAAGCCATGCATGTAGGTGCTTAAAAATAACACCATCAGAAGGTGTGTCATTCAAATAGTGTGTATGTGTATGGGAAGTGCTTAGTATCTGATTCAAACACTTTGAACAAGGGGGATGCTGAATGTTGGCTGGGCATTACAACTAGTGCTAAATCTTTCTTCCCTAATAACTTACAGGATGAATTTGTGGGGTTTTCTTGGCTTTGATCAACAGGGTTTGGGCCATGTGTAGGTTCACTGGGTCCCACTGCAGCCTCCGAGGCTGAGGGCTCAGGCTCTGCCTCCTGCCACACTCCAGGCTTGCTGCTTTTTGCTTTGTAGCTCTTGGCTACAAGGCTTTGAGCATCTTAACCATACGCATGACAACCTCATCACAGGTCTGGAGCAAAGCCAGCACTGGCATTGAGAGCCATGGGAGCAGCATGCAGAGTCCAGGGTCTCATCCAGAAAGGTGTTCAGGTAGGAAGCCCTGCTGCTGTTTCCTAGTGCTCCTCTGGGGTCTGCCTTTTGTATTGAGGACCCCTCTTCTGAGATCTGCCTCCCTGTACCCCTGGGGTTCTTCTGCCTCGTCCACACAAAGTATGGTGCCATCAACTCCTATGAGCTGGTGGCCCTGGAGGTGCTGACTGGGATCTGCAGGGTTCATGTCCTTGTGCCAGGAGCAAGCACCTCTCATGGACACTGTGTGGTGCAGTGGGAGATGCTCCCTCTGGCCACCTCGCTGTGTCCCCTCTCCCAGGCCCTGGTGGCCCTCAGGATGTGCAGAGTGGCCAGGGGAAATCCTGCCCTGCCCGAGCCTATCTCCAGCAGCACAGGAGCAGGTGAGCAGCCCTTTTCCTATGCTCAGGGATGCACCGATTCCTGGCTGGGGCTGGCTGCCAGCCAGACCTGCACAGGGCCCAAGGGGCCGGTTAAGCTCATTGCTTTGCTTTCTGAGGCTTCGGGAAGCCGTCCACCAGCATTTAATTCGAACTCATTGAACAATTCTCCTGAGAGCAGCTAGTTCAAGACCAGCCACTACAACAGAGCATCCCTGAGATCAGCTGGCATGGCCCCATGGAGAGCTCTGTGTCCTCCAGCTCATCTCCGTGGCTGTGCCAACACAATGGTGAGTTCAGGACAAGGTGCCTGGCCTAGGGTAATGTTGGCTCAGCTCTGAACCTGGCTGCCTGCGTTGCCTCCAGCCCCAGGGGGTATCTTGAGGTCTGTTAATACCCCTCCCACTTCCACCCCAAACCTGTTTCTGCCTTGGAGCAGTTGCTCCCCAGGCAGCAGTCCCAGAGCAGACCTGGCTCAGCCCTCACCGGCCTTCACAGCCTGTTGCCAGTTCACTGTGCTGCAAAGGTGGTGGGATGCACACCCTACTGTGATGGGATTCATGTCCGCCACTGGATGCAAAAACCTGAGGCCACTTGGATAGGAGTGGGAACAAGGCAGAGCCAGGCTGAGAGTGCAGAGATGAGTTCCCAGCTCTAGCAAATGAGTGGTGTGTGATGGGACCACCCTGGGACACAAGCTTCCCTGAAAGAGGCTGCTCTCTGGAAAAGCCTTTTCACTCTGTGCTCAACCCTTAGGAGTTCTGGGGGCCATCTGTGCCCCATTCTTACGGCATCCTGGGGACTGTCCCAAAGGACAAGGCTGGGGCCATGCTGCCTTCATCCCTTGCTCCCCTGTTTCTGTGTGGCTCTATGAAGGCAGCCCATGGTGTGCCCTGTTTTACATCATTGACAACTACTCAGAAGAAAACTAATGATCTTCATTAATGAGCTGAACACTTGTGGGTCAGGGCCTGATGTCCTGTGCAGGGGCATGTGCAGTCATGCAGCAGGACTGAATCACAACTCTGCTCATGGTGCAGCCTTCCTGTTAGCTCCGGGCACATGTAGCTCTGCAGCACACACAGAAAGGCAGCTCCACGCTGCCTTCCATCCATCCCTCGTACCCCAGGCTGTGAGATGGGACCTGTGACAGCTTATCCTGCTTCCCTGGGAGGTGTGGGATCAAGCGATGTGTCCCAGCCTGGAAAGCAGCATCTGTGGCTGTGATTTAGCCTAGAAGGGGCAGGAGAACCCAGGAACAGTCCCGCAGTGCGGTGGCTGTACTGCAGTGTGGGACTGGGGCACTGAGCCCCCCTCACCTTCCAGAGGTCCCTTATTCCACCTACATCCCTTTGTCACAGTCATCATCTGTTGACCAGCTGAAGCCACCACCTTGGAACCCACAGAGCTGCAGGAGGGACTCAACAAGCCATGGCCAGAGGCATCCATGCGATTTATAGCGCTTGTTCAGCCCATGAGCAGCCTGGAGCTATTCCTGTAACAAAAGCCTCAGTTTGTTGTACAATCCTGATTTTCCTATGCTGGATGCACGGCTGGCTTAGGGCAGAGAGGGGGTTCAGTCTCACCCCATGTCACAGAGAGTGCTTGGGGGGGCTTCCCCGGGGGGGGGGGGGGGGGCAGGGGGCTGCATGCCAACCAATGCCTTAATGACCCCCACGTGTATTTGTCTCAGGCAGAATCCCAGACTGGTTTGGGTTGGGAGGGACCTTAAAGCTCCTCCAGTTCCAACCCCTGCCATGGGCAGGGACACCTTCCACTAGAGCAGCTTGCTCCAAGCCCCTGTGTCCAACCCCACCTTGAACACTGCCAGGGATGGGGCAGCCACAGCTTCTCTGGGCACCCTGGGCCAGCGCCTCAGCACCCTCCCAGAGAAGAGCTTCTGCCTCAGAGCTCATCTCAGTCTCCCCTCTGGCAGGTTAAATCCGACTCAGACGTGCTCTGCAGCCTGGCCAGGCTCGGGTTTGCCCCTGGGGTAAGCATCTGTTGCCTTGGGGTTGTGCTGCCCAGCATTAAAAGACGAATCAGTGCAGGGGGGCACGGGGGGCGCTGCGGGATGCGGCAGAGCCCATCACCCGCTGCGAGGCGCGGCAGCAGCGCGGAGCAGCATTTTTCAAACTCAGCCCTCGGATGCTCGCAGCGAATTTGGGGCCGGATTGTAACGGACGAGAGACGCGGCGGGTGGGAGGGAGCAGCCTTGCACAGGCGCTGGCTGTGAATGGGCTCCCCGAGAGGCACCGTGAGGAGCTCCGCACGCCCCAATGGCAGGGTGGGCACCGTGAGAGGGGGGCCCAGGGGACCCCTATCCGTGGGGGTGCCTCGGGATCCTCACCGTGAGGGGCCCTCGGGACCTATCACCCATGGGAGACATCTGCCTCTGAGGATGCTCTACAATTACAGTGATACCCTGGGGGCCCCCACCTCCGAGACTGTCCGGGGGGGGGGGGGCTGTGTTTAGAGGCTCTCCCTGGGGACTTGCACTGCTGAGGACACCCTGGGGACCCCATTCCCTCTCCCGGAGCACCCTTACTCTCAGGGGTATCCCAGAAACCCTCCCCACCTCCACACCCCGGGGTGACCCCCCCCCTACAGGGGTACCCCGGCGATCTCCTGTCCCCAGGGATGCCTGGGTGACCCTCACCCATAGCAGCGCGCCGGGACAGCCCCCAAATGCCTGCGCTCTGAAGGTGCCCCGGGGGACCCCCTACCCCGGGGTGCCTTTCCCCCCGGGATGCCCCTTACCCAGGAGCGATGCCACGGCAGCGGCGCTGTGCGGGCGGAGGGGTCGCTGTTGCCGCTGCGGCCACGGCCGCCTCCCCCCGCTCCCCCCGCTCCGCCGCCGCCTTTTGTTCGCCGCCCGCGCTCGTCCCCGCCCGGCGGCGGGGCGGGCGGAGCTGGGGCCGCAGCCGCAGCGGCAGCCGGGGCTAAGCCGAGCTCAGCCCGGCGCAGCGCAGCGGGACATGGAGGCCGCGCCGGCGGAGCAGGGTCCCCCCGCGCCGGCCCCTCCGCCGCCACCGCTCCCGGAGAGGAAGAAGAAGCCGCAGCGGGCACCATCGCCCGCCCGCCCCAAGGAGGTGCCGGGCTGGTCGCTGGCCAAAAGCCGGCGCGGCGGCGGCGGGGGGCACCCGGGCGCGGCCCCGCGGCTGGCGGCGGGGGGCGCGCACTCGCGGCGGGCGGGCGGCGGCAAGGACGGGCGGCCCGAGAAGCGGGCGGCGGCGGCGGCGGCCCGGGCCGGTTGCAAGGGGCCGGCGGGGCGCGGCGCGGCCAGGGCGAAGGGGCGGTGCCGCGGCGCGGAGACGGCGGCCACCGGGGCGAAGCGATCGGGGCCGGGGCCGGGGCCGGTGGCCGGGCCCAGCCTGACCGACAGCAGCTCGGAGGTGTCGGACTGCAGCGCCTCGGAGGAGGCAAAGCTGCTCTCGCTGGAGCTGGGGCTCAGCGGCAGCGATGGCGAGTCCCCGGGCAGCGCCCCGCCGCCGCCGCCCTCGGCCGGCGAGGCCTCGCCGCTGCCCGAGGAGCCCTCGGCCGCCTCCATGGCCAGCAGCCGCCTGCAGCTTAGCACCTCGCTCGCCTTCTCCGACCTCACCGAGGAGCTGCTGGACGCCGGCACCGACGGGCTGCTCCGCGAGCTGGAGGACCTGCGCTCCGAGAACGACTATCTCAAGGTGGGCACGGCGGCATCCCTGGGCAGTGGTGTGGCACAGTGTGGGTCAGCAAGGCTCAGCATCCCTTGCGTAGCATGCTTTAGCATCCCTGGGCATGGCATGGCGAGGCACAGCATGGCATCTGAGGGCCTGGCTCGGCGTGGCACAGCATCCTTGGCTATAGCATGGAGTTCTGTAGCATCCTAGGGCATGCGCCAGCGTGGCTTAGTGTCTCTGGGCACAACATAGCATCCCAAGGCAAGGATCATCACAATGTGGCATCCTAGGGCATGGTTCAGCATGGCACAGCATCCCTGGTAATGGCATGGCATCCCAAAGCATGGCTCAGCAAGGCACAGCATCTGTGTGCAATAGCATAGCTCAGCCTTCCATGGAACATCACAATATAGTGCAGCATCCCTGGGCATGGCTGGGCACAGGGCACAGCTCAGCTCAGCCCTGTATAGCCTGACTCAGCCTGGCATGACACTGCTGAACATAGCCTGGCCTGGCTCAGTTGGGCATCACTGCATGGCATGGCTGGATGCAGGGCTTGGCATGGCTCAGCCCAGCACAGCATCGCTGGACATGACCTGGCATGGTACAAGTGAGCTCAGCTCAGTGCATCATGGCACAGCTGCGGATGGCACTTCATGCTGTGGATGGGCTTGTCTCAGTTTGGCATAACATGATGTAGGGCATGGTTGGATGTAGGGCATGGCTTCCCTACTCCTGACATGGCCCAGCTGACACAGAGCAAAGCTCAGCTTAGCACAGCAGGGCCCATCTGGGCCTGGTCCAGCATGGTGTGCCATGGCTGGGCGCCGCTTGGCTCAGCACAGCATGGCACGTTATGGCAGAGGGCACACATTGGCACAATGTGGGCCACCTTAGCCTGGCATGACCCAACTGGGCATGGCAAGCCTTAGCATGGCGCCAGCTCAGCATGGCTAAGCTCAGCACAGCCTGGGCTGGCACAGCTCAGCACGGCACAGCTCTTCTCCACCCAGCTTGACATGGCAGAGCACGGCATGGTTTTGGCTCAGCCTGGTTTGGCATCCTGGGACGCTGCTCAGCAGGGCACTGCTCAGCTTGGTGCAGGGAGGGATGCTGCCCATGCCCTCCCTGCCTGCTGATGCTGCCAGACCCTGGGGACATTTTCCAGCTTGCCTCTTTCCAAGGTTCCTGTGCTTCCCAGGGCCTTTTTCTGGGCATGCAGCATGGCTGCCTGGTTCGGGGTGGGGCATGGTGGGTGAAGCCAGAGCAGATGGGCTGTATGGGGACAGAGGCACAGAGCAGTTTATTCTCAGTCACGCCTTGACCTGCTGCCCCTTGGCAGCACTGCCTGCTGCGGGGTGGGCACAAACACCCACCAAGCGCCGCGTCCTGGTGGGCTGCAGGCATTTGCACCCTCTGCTCTTCTTCAGGGTGGAGCTCTGGATGAGATGTTTGTGCAGTCACCTGCTGGGGGCACACATCTCAGTGGCTGCTCTTGGGATGTCACCGGTTGGAAAGCAGGCCAGCTCTGACCGGCTGGTGCCAAAGCTTGTAAATGCCTTGGGTTTGTAGCTGCGAGGTGGGAGCTCGGTGCTGGGGATGCGCTCAAAGATGCTCAGTCAGGCCCTTTGTCCATTAGCAAAGCCCCAGTTCACAGCTGGTGTCCCAAGTCCTGCCAGAATTAGCAGCAAGAGCTTAAGGGCTTTGATTTACTGAGAGGTGGAAAAACACAGATGAGGCCCCTTCAGTGTCCAGGAACATGCATGCAAACACTCTGGTTCCAACGTGCCGAGCAAGCGCTTCCTCCATTTCCACGTGATGCTCTTCCTGCAGGCTGCAGGCCAGCGGGCTGCCAGTGTTCTACCTGCCTTGAGGGGTGGCAGCTGAACCCCCCCAGCCAGGAGCACTGGGGAGAGTGGATACGTGCACCAAGAAGTGCAGTGGGTTGGTGGTGGCATCCCCACTACTTGGCCATGAGTATAGAGTATATGCCATGAGTATATGCTATGTGCACTTGGGTCTATTCCCTGACATGAGCATCCTGCTTGTGCCCATGTTGTAGGTTGTTTCTCATGACACTTGAGCAGGAGACTGCTGAGATGGTCCCCAGGCTCCAGCCGGGCACCCCTTGTGCTCCAAGGTGGAAGGTTTGCTCCCTTAAGGAGCAGAAACCTGTGTTGCATTGCAACAGGGGGCTGGTTTGCCAGCTCTGCTAAAAATTAGGGTATTTATTTGGGGCTTTAGGGCAAAAATCAAGCCCTACCCCAAGCAATGAACATCACCCGCCTGGCCATGCAGCCCAGGTTGGAGAGCAGCATGCAGGGAACCTGCAGAGATGCCCCCTGTCCCCAGCACCTCCCCTCCCCTTGGCTATGGATGAATCAGGCTCCTCAGAGGTGACTTATTTCCGAGGACTCATGCAGCGAGCTGCAAATGAGTATTTTTTCATGTGTTCATCAGAGCCAGCTCAAACCTGGTGTGTTCTTAACGAGAAATGAGGAACTCTGGGGGATGGAAGGGGTTTGGCAGCGTTCTGGCACAGGCCAGACGTGTGTGGTGCTACTACACCCGTGTGCTGCACGCTGGGGTTGGAGCTTCCCAGCAGAGCACATTGCAGCCCTCGGCAGCAGTGCCAGCTCACGTCGCATCCTCCCTCAGCTGCCATAATCAAACGTATATATTTTAAGCACACTTCACCCATTTCTCTCTGTAACCCAGATTTGTGCAAGGCTCTGCCTTCCTCCTCCCGCTCTGGGTGCACCAACTGGGCTCGTGTGTCCTCTTGTTCCTGTGCACCTGCTGTGACACCCCATAAATGGGTTATTTCGAGTGTTCCCCCCAAAAAAGGGCCGTTCTTCACGTGCAGGGTGGCAGCCAGCAAGGAGGGGCAGCGTCTCGGGTGTCCTTGCCCCATCTCACTGTTGCTGAGCAGTGTGATGGGGAGCTCCCAGCCCTGCTCAGTGGGCTGGAATATGTGAGATGTGATACAGCAGCAGCTGTGGAGGGATGGGCAGACAAAGAGTGGGCACGGGAGAGGGTTTGGAGCGAGGGGAGGGGATGCCTTCAAACCCTTTCCTCTCCTCTCCTTAGGAAGGTGCTCAGGAGAGAGCTGTGTAACGCTGGAAGCACAGCACTGCCTGCCCCCTCCTGCATCACCCGCATCCCTGGGGTTTGGTGCGTTTCCCAGCTCCATGGAGCAACACGTAGGGTGGGTGAATGGGTGCCTTGTTCCTCCCAAGGCAGGCAGGGACCAGTGTGTGCCACCAGTGAGGGCTCAACAGTATATTTCCAGCTACACAGCCCCAGCTGGGGGTGCATGGGGGACCTGGAGGTTGTGTCTGGGCAGCCTGGTTGGCACAGGGCTGTCACAGGGGCCCAGCTCTGTTGCTGCTCACATCCTGCCTGCCCACAGGGGCAGGGACCATGCCCGGGGGTCCCTGTGAGCGCAGGCAGAGCCGGGATGCAGGGATGTGCCATGTATCACCTGCCAGCAGCCAGAGCAAGGGGATTTGCAGGCTCTTGCCTCTTGAGGTGCTGCCCAGCAGGGGCTGGGCTGCAGAGAGGCCCCCGCTGTTTGCATGTTCATTATGGGGCAGGTGTAAAGCTGTGGGATGTGGATTTTCACCTCCCTGACGTGCTCTGTGCTGAGCAGGAGCTGTGGTGCCAGCCAGGGCAGGGCTGTGCTGCACTGGGCTCCAGCATGACATGGAGGGAAGGATGGCTGATATTTGCTGTCAGAGCTGGGCTAGAGCTGCTGTTGATGCACCTAAAGAAATCTCTGTGTGACACAGGGTGTGCTTTACCCATCCTTCAACCTACTGCACCCCCACATGGGCTTGGGTGAGCTGCATTTGCTGGGATCCCCTGGCTGGCAGGGACACCACAGGCAATTTCCCTTTGAAATTCCCTCTTGATTTCATTTTCCCCCTAGCAAATTCTAGCATAATTCCCTCTCCTGTCTGCTGGGGGCTCAGAGTTAATGGGAAGCTGCTGCTTTTGTCCTTGTAATCTCAGAGGAAGCTGGTGCTTGTTGCTCCTGGACAATAATCCCCACCTTTGCACCAGGGATCTCAGGCTTTCCCGCTGCCTGCGTGGCCCCAGGCTCTTCACAAAGGCATCAGTGCAAAGCATAGAGGCAGCTTTCACCCTTGATCCTCCTCTGCAGCCTGTGCTGATGTTTGGGGTGCAGGTGGAGGGTGTGAATACAGCAGGGCAGGGCTCCCCGAGTGCTGCCTGTCCCCCTTCTGCCCCAGAGCCTGAGGCTGCCAAAGCTGAGGGTGTCTGTGCTGTCAGCAGCACCTCAGCCACCAGCCATGGCGTTGTTTGCATCATCCTCTTGTGTATCCGTTGCTGTTTCTGCTTCTAAGAGATAGTGGATCCTGCTGAGGAGCTGCGAGTCCCTGTGCTGCTCTGAGCATGCTGTGTTCTTGCAAACACCTAAGCCAGCATGTCACCCATTGGGCAGGAGAGCTGAGGGTTTAACTCTTCTGCCACAACACTGATGGGTCTGATCTGCGCTTTGAGGTGTCCTGCAGGTGGGCATCAGGACAAGTCTGTAGCTGTTACCTCCTCCTGCTCTGGACCTGCACGCACGTTTGTCTGAACTGGATCCAGGCAGTTTGCATCACATCTTGCTGCTCCTTCGTTTCCTTAATAATCTCCCCAGGGAGACCCAGTGTCTCTGAGGTTTGTGCAGAGAAGGTTGAAGGTATCTTGTCTCTCGGGTTCCTCTGTGCAGTACAACCTGGCTCCTGCAGGCATGTGAGGTGTTTGCTTTTGCACACCCTTGTGCCTTGGGCATTGAAATGAGTCCTCCTGAGCTACAGGTCCCCAGCATCATTTCTAAGAGGGGTGACTTGTGGTATAAACCCACTATGAATGAAGTCTTTGTGGCTGCAGAGATGGGGTGGGCACGGATGCTGTGGTGGGTAATCCTGGGGGATGGAGGGGATGAGCAGCCCAGGGGTGCTGGGAGGCTGGGACTCCATGCAGGGGTGGGCACCTTTTGCTTATGGGACGAGAGGCCAAGCCTGGCAGCCTCTTGGACAGAAGTCATTTATCTCGTCCTCAGTGTTACCCTCTCTCTGTTTTACCTCATCTCTGTTTCATGAGGCCAGGTTGAATGGGGCTTGGAGCAAGCTGCTCTAATGGAAGGTGTCCCTGTCTGTGGCAGGGGTTGGAACTGGATGAGATTTAAGGTCCCTTCCAACCCAAACCAGTTCACAATTCACACTTGGTTTATAATTGCTATGGAGCTTCATGGTCACAATGCCACCCCTCAACTGGGGATGTTTCTATGGGGTTCCTCCTGGCTCCTAGCTCTGTTCTCACCTTATCCAGATGGATTCTTTGCTTTGTTTTGGGGCATCACCCCCAGAAAATGTGCAGATGCAAAGGGTGAGGCTCTGTGGCTGTCACAGACCCCAGAGCCATAGGGGGACCCCTGTGCCCCCCGTGTGCTGCCTCCAGTCACCACAGGGCTGTTCTGCTGCCGCAGCTTGGCCATGGAGGGGCTCAGCTTTGCCATCCTGAGCTCCCTTCCAGTTTACTGGCATTTTCTGCTCCCGATCCTAATCCAGTTACTACGGCTTATGGCACAGCTTGCCTCCTAGGGGCAAGATTGGGATGGGCTGTGTGGCTGCTGGGCTGCTGCCGTTTGAAGGGTTTATTGCTATTATGGGGTACATGCAAATTCCTGCAGCTTTCCCAGCCTTCCAGTGCCGACCCTGCTGCAAACCCACTAGCCCCAGTCCTGGGAGAAGCAGCTCCAGGCTGTGCCGATGGGCTTTGCCCAGGCAGCAGCTCACGCTGGACACAGCCTCATCCCACTATAATGGTTGCTACAACCCGAGGGATAAACAAGAGGAGCTCTTGGTGCTGCAAGCCCAGGCTTCCTTCCAGTGAGGTTTGGTTGGGCTTTTTCCAAGGTCCCTGCTCCCTGCCCTGCTCAGCTGCTGCCTGGGGAAGCCACATGGCAAATGGGAGCCGGTACTGTCAGCACTGGAGCAGGATGCAGGCAGCCTGGGGTGCCTCTGCAATCAGATTCAAGCCACGATTCGCATGACTTCGGTAGTGAAAGGTGGTTTTCCATCAGCCTGCTGCAGAGCGCCTGTGATGCATGATGCATTTTACATAGAATCACAGAGTAGTCTGAGTTGGAAGGGACTTTAAAGCTCATCCAGTTCCAACCCCTGCCACCCCCCTGCAGGGGACACCTTCCACTAGAGCAGCTTGCTCAACCTTGCCCATGAAAGCTCCGAAGGAATAGATGCCATGAGCCAGCTCCCCTGGCTGGTTTGGGTACAAGGTGGTGTTCTCAGGGCTGTGGCATTGCTGTATGGGGTAGGCAGTGCTGTTGATGCGTCTCCATTGGGTGCATCGCAATGTCACAGGGCTGTCTGGTGTTCAGGCTTGGGGGATTCACCCCTGAGCTGTCCAGGGGTGGACATGCCCATAGTGATGCTCCTTCATAGGGCAGTCTCGGGCTGCCCCTGGAGCAGCCCTGGCACTCCCAGATGCCCATCTCAGTGCCTCGGGGCTGTTTGTGCCCTGCTCTTGTTCTCCAGAGCCCCCAGCATGAAGCAGAGCAGCTTCAGGGGGGCAGCAGGATGCTGGTGGCTGCGGGGCCGCAGCGCTCTAGCAGCCTGGACGAGAAGATAATCCGGGATTGTCTCCTTGACGTTCCTTGTTTATCACACAGTGCTCAAAGCCAACAGTGGGCGACTGTGCCTGTCCCTGCAGCTGCTGCCCCCCCTCCCGGGCTCCGCTTTGCCTTTAGGGGGAATTCCTGCAGCTGGGGCTTTATCCAGCAGGATGAGTGGGCAGGGAGTGTGCCAGCGCCTGGCAGAGCCGGCACAGTGCTGCTCACCCTGTCTGTAGAGCACTGTCATGGGTCAGGAGCAGTGGGGTCCTGTCCCCTCTGCCTGGGGGGAATCGGGGCTGTGCATCCCTGCTGCCTGTGCTGGATCCTCCTCTTGTGGCCGTGGCATGGAACAAGGCAGGAGCAGGAGTGACATTTGGTAGTGATGGGGTTGTTCAGTGGTGGCTGGAAGGTAGATGTTTGATCCCTTCCCAGAAGCATGCCGGGTCCAGGGACTTCTTGAGGAGGAGAGCAGCCAGTGTGATGCCTTGAGCTTTGCTTGGAGGGTGCTCACAGGGATGTGAGAAGAGCTTTGGGCAGCGCAGCCTGTGTGAGTCCCAGGGACAGGAGGGGACAGTCCTTGAGCATCCCCAGTGACCACTGCCCTGTGCTGGATGGGGAGGTGGCACTGGGGCTGCAGCTGATGCAGGGTTCCCACAGGTCTGGAGGAGGCTTTGAATCATTGTTGGTGCCTGCAGGATGTCAGTCCTGGCCCTGCTGTGGCAGTGACAGAGCAGCTCAGTGCCGGAGGCTCTGCTGACTTAGGAGGGGTTTGTCACCATGAGAGCTGATGAAGCTGGGAAGGGGTGGACCAGGGGACCCAGCCCAGCGGTTGCTGCTTGGTGGCAACATGAAGGACAACCTCTGGTTCCTGGTGCTGGCAGCATCTTGCTGTGTCCCTGCGTTGCCTCCCTGTCTTGCCTGCCATCTCTTCCTCCTCTCGCCTGCCTCCCTGACACATCTTTTCCAAAGACATCCCGTATTCTCTGTGCTGCAGCTGCCGCCTGTGCTGCTCCTGCAGCTCCTCTCCCTCCCCCATCTTCCTCTTTCTTTCACCACCGATGCACCCGTGTTGGCTGGGTCACCAGCGGGTGATGGTGCCCAACTGGCTCTGAGCCATGTTCCTGCAAGGATGGGGCTTGACTGGAGGGGGACTCTTCATCAGGGGCTGTAGTGATAGGACAAGGGGTGATGGGTTCAAACTGACACAGGAGAAGTTCAGGTTAGATCTAAGGCAGAAGCTCTTCCCTGTGAGGGTGCTGAGGCGCTGGCACAGGGTGCCCAGAGAAACTGTGGCTGCCCCATCCCTGGGAGTGTTCAAGGTGGGGTTGGACAGAGCCTTGGGTAGCATGGTCTAGGGTGAGGAGTCCCTGCCTGTGAAAGAGGGTTGGAACTGGATGACTTTAAGGTCCTTTCCAACCCAAACCAGTTTGGGATTCTGCGATTTTATGATTCTATGAGCCAAGGGGTTGAAGGTGTGTGAAGAGTTTGTGGGCTGGAGGAGAACAGGGGAGCCATGGTGGGGATGTGTCCCCACCACACAAAAAGAGGGGAGAGCATCTGCGCGTTCCGTTCCCTCTAACGCACATCTCCGCACAGGATGAGATCGAGGAGCTGCGCGCAGAGATGCTGGAGATGAGGGATGTCTACATGGAGGAGGACGTGTACCAGCTGCAGGAGCTCCGTCAGCAGCTGGACCAGGCCAGCAAGACCTGCCGCATCCTGCAGTACCGGCTGCGCAAGGCGGAGCGGCGCAGCCTGCGCGTGGCGCAGACCGGGCAGGTGGATGGGGAGCTCATCCACAGCCTCGAGCAGGACGTCAAGGTGAGGCTGTGCAATCCCCACGGCACACGTGGGTTTAGGTGAGGTGTGGACACCGTGGCTGGTGTAATGCAATGGCGTGGCCGGGGATGTGCAGGGAGTGCCATGGATTGGGCTGCTTATTGGGCTGTCAGTGGGGGCATCATGATTCCCTGCTCATGGAGTTGATATGGGAAGTGGGGAGCAGTGCTTGCAGCTGGCAGGTGGGGAGTGTTTGGGGGGGGTCCTGGGGTGGAGAGGGACGGCATTGTCAAGGATGGGGGTCTTGCAGTGCCATATGTGAGGTTCGTCCTGTGCAGGCTGGAGCTGTGTGTCCCAGGATTGACCTCCCTTATCCTGCACCGATGGGGACAGGATGGGGCCACTGCCATGAGCTGGAGCATCACAGATGTGCAGAGAGGGAGCATAGGGACCAGGACGCTGGGGACATGGGGCTGCTCCTCTCAGCCATCAGGGAACCTTTGCAGAGCCCCAGGCATGGTGGCAGGCCGGGCTGGGGCAGGGACAAGGGGACTTCTGCAGGGTGACGTTGCTCTGCCCCACCAGCCGCTGGCCTTGAGGAGCTGCTGGTGCCAGTGAGTGTTTGCTGAGGGCTCTTGCTGCCAGGAGTGGGGAGCGGTGACGGCTCGGAGGGGATGGGAGCAGCTCCAGGAGTAGCTTTGGTTCTTGAGCAGGAAACAGCCAGTCCTGGAGCTGAGGCACGCCCGAGCATGGGGCTGTGAGCCTGCCTTATGCTGCTGGGAGCCCAGTCCCCTCCCAGGCTGCCCAGCAGCCCCCAGCTTGGGTGCTGCTGCCTGAAGCATCCCCCTCCAGCTTCTCCCTTCATGGAAAGAAAAGCACAGCCCATCCCTGTGGGGAATGGGAGCCTGCCTCCATGGCCTGGGCCACCCCATCTGCCTCCACAGCCCCGGTACCCCAGGCAGGCAAGGGACCAGGGGCACTGGAGATGATTTTCCCTTCCTTCAGGTGCAGGAGTGAATGCTCCATGCTGTTAAGCTCCCTTTATGTCAGGGGTTGCTCCCTTGCGGGAATCTGGAGAGGGGGTCTCTGGGTCTGTGCCCAGGATGGATGGATGGATGGATGGATGGATGGAGCCACCCTTCACCCGGGCAGCTGCTGTTTGTTCTGTAATGTGATGCAGCAGCTCTCCTTTCTCCCTGCCAGCGCAGCTGCTGCCTGCAGTGAGTGGCTACTGCCTGCTGTCATGCTGCCTGCCTGCTTTCCCAGCCTTGTGGCAGTGATTCCAGCTTCACGGTGTGGGAAAATAGTACAACAAGGCAATGAGTATCCTGTTAGGGATGGGGAAGGTGGGGTTTGGCCAGGGGATGGGGAGTGGGGCAGCCTAACAGTTGGGGGACGGGGACAGCAGCCACAGCAGGCAGTGGAGGGGACACACACAAGAGCCATGGTGTCACCAGCGCAGTGGCTGCTCTGGAGGGTCTCAGTAACAGCCTCATATGAGGCCTGTGGTGCCCAGGTGCTGCGGTCCCAGCCCTGTGTGCACTGTGCCATGCTGTGACAGCCCCATTGTGTCCCCAGGTGGCCAAGGACGTGTCCGTGCGGCTCCACAATGAGCTGGAGGCGGTGGAGAAGAAGAGGATCCGGCTGGAGGAGGAGAATGAGGACCTGCGCCAGCGGCTCATCGAGACTGAGCTGGCCAAGCAGGTGGTGCAGAACGAGATGGACAAGCTCCGAGAGGTGAGAGGACATGGGGGACATCGGGAGGCGTCCCCAGGACTCTGCCCATGGCAGGTGTCTGCTCCGTGGGATCTCATCCCTGCTCCCATCGCTGAAACCCAAACCCTGCTGCAGATGCTGTGAAACCGGAGCAGTGCCTGCCCTGTGTGAGACGTGCTTCAGCCCGCCCCAGGGCGTGGGGTGGCTCTGCCCTGTGCTGGTGGTCTATGGGTTGTCCCCCCCTGCACTAGAGCCACTTACATGTCCTCAGCCACTTGCTCAGACTGGCCAACGCTCTGCACCATGTGTGGAGACCGCTGTGTCCCTGGCACAGTGCCTGGTGGTGGCCGTACCCTGACCACATGCTGCTGGTTCCAGTGGGGCTGAGCCATGAGGCTGCACGGCTGCAATGTCCCAGTGGTGTCCCAGCAGTACTGTGGAGCTGGGTGGGTGCATGGTCCCATCTGTGTCCTGGGGAGCCATGTGCCCATAGCACAGATCCAGGGCACCCCATGCTGTGCCAGGTTTGGGAAGAGTTCCCAGCCAGGAGCGATGTCATCAGGAAAGGCATCCCCATGACAGTGTGTACTTGTGATCCACCGCAGCACTGGTAACCCACTTCCCTACTGCCCGGGATGCCTTTGGTCCCTCGGGAGCCTCGGGAAGCATCATCGCTGGCTGAGCCATCAGAGCAGCGTGAGAGATGTGCTGAGGCAGAGCTCTGGCCCTGCTCCCGCTGAGGATGGGGACACGATGCAGGGAGAGCTCCCTCTGCCCCCAGCTGTGCCCCCTGTGTGGCAGAGCAAGGAACCAGCACATGGCTTTGGGATCCATGGGGCTGCCTGTGCCCAGTCACAGAACCCCAACCTGGTTTGTGTTGGAAGAGACCTTAAAGCTCACCCAGTTCCAACCCCTGCCACGGGCAGGGACACCTTCCACTAGAGCAGCTTGCTCCAAGCCCCTGTGTCCAACCTGCCCTTGAACACTGCCAGGGATGGGGCAGCCACAGCTTCTCTGGGCACCCTGTGCCAGCGCCTCAGCACCCTCACAGGGAAGAGCTTCTGCCTAAGAGCTCATCTCAGTCTCCTCTCTGGCAGGTTAAAGCCATTCCCCTTGGCCTGTCCCTACAGGCCTTTGTCCAAAGCCCCTCTCCAGGTTTCTTGCAGCCCCTTTAGGTACTGGAGGAGTGTTGTATGGTCTCCCTGAGCTGATTAATGCTGGCACCAGCACCTGGCAAGCCACAGGACCCAGCCGTGGTCATACCATCCCCTCTGCAGCCACCTTTTCAGTGTCACAGAGCAGCATCACCCCGATGGGGTGTCTCATCCCTCCCCTGTGCAGGCTGCACTAACAGGCATGAAATGGGTTTCCCTGCAGCCAGCACAAGCTGAATAACAAATGGCAGCAGCAGGAGCTGGGCTGGAGGATTCTTGTGCTTGAAAAACAGGCATAGCCAATGGTTGTGTGGTCAGTGCAGCGAGCCCTGAGTGCCAGCTCCTGCCCTGCCCTGGCAGAAGAGCGTGGGAGAGGATACGGCCCCTCTGCGGCGCTCCAAGGGATGCTGCTGGTGGGAGGACACCCAGCCCAGCTCAGAGCCCAGCTCCAATGGTGTGTCTCCAGGCAAGCAAGGGCATGGGGTTACTCAAGGAGCACTCAGAGTGCTAATGAGACAAATGAGTGAGTTCACAGCCCTCCTCCACCTCCTCCCTGCTGCTGCAGGGCACAGAGCATGGCAGAGCTTGTTAGCAGCCAAGCCAGGGCTGAGTGGAGGCTGCGCAGGCCTGGGCTCACCCCTCAGGGCTCAGTGTGTCTCCTTTCCAAGAGGTTTCTCCCATAAGCGGATAATTGTCGGGATGGGCAGATTATCCCAAAAGTGTGTGTGCTGTGCCCCTCCATGGCATGTGCTGGGGGGCAGGAGAAAAGCGGGACTGGTCCAGGTACCTCGTGCCACATTGAATTTGGTCACAGCGAGACCCAGGGGCACAGCCACCCCATGGGATACACCCGAGGTGGACCAGTGACAGCAGCATCTGCCCCAGGGTGCTGTGCTGGGGCCGGGCAGTGCCTGGTGCGGGATGCGACGTGGCACAGGCAGTCCCCGGGAGAGGCCCTGCAGCAGCTCCAGAGATGGTCGTGGCCTTAATAGGAAAGCTGGAGCCCGGCACCTTGGCACGGGCAGCATTTCACATTTCAGCTGCATTTCCCAGCTGCTTTCTTTGGCTGCTGGGCCCCAGCACCCGCTTGGAAGTAGGTCCAGGGCGGCTGCACGGATGGGCCGGTGCTCATGGGGGCTGTGTGGGTGTTCTTGAGGGGTTTTTCCCAGCTTCCCTCCCCACATAACTGGCCCTGCTCCGGGCACATCGTTTTTTCCCCCTTTCTGGTCTCCTTTCTTGCTCTGTTTGTCCTCCCCATCCCCCAGCTGTCCTGGAGATTGTCCCTTGTGTCCCCAGAGAGCCCGAGGGCAGAGTCAGCATCCCCCTGCTGAGCAGCCCTCCCCATAACAGTGACCAGGACTTGTGCCTTGCTTGAGGCTGCTCCCACACTGGGATACCCCAGAGCTGTCGCTTGGCCTGGGGGTTGGATTCCCTGCTTCATCCAGAAGGGACCATGACTCAGCCTCTCCACGGCTCATTTCCTGCTCATTCCTGCTCGCTCACAGCAAGCCTGCCTGCAGGGGGAATTTCTGGCCAAACCTCATGAGATCATGCTGCTTGTCAGCCCAGCTTCCCCCTCAGCAAACAAGCTCAGCCCACTGGGGCTCTGGTGTGTTCCTGGGGTTCACAGCACCGATACCCATCCAGGTGGGTCTGTCTGTCCGTGCTGGGGTGCAGAGCCCTCGCTCCAGGTAACAGCTCTCTTCTCCCTGCAGAATTCCCTGAAGAAGCGGGGGTCTCGCTCCATCGGGAAGGCTGAGAAGAAACCATCAGTGCAGGTATCAGTGCCGGGGTGTCCCACCAGCACCCCACGTCATGGTGCCAGTGGAGCCAGAAGTAAAGCTGGGCATGGCAGTGTCATCCCCTCCCTTGCAGGGATTCCCTGCCTTTCAGATCCTGTATATGGGAGGGATTGACTCCTGGGCCAGCCTGCTCCATCTTCACCTGCTCCTTTATCTCATTTATCAATGGAGCACCAGTGGCTGTGGCTTTAACCCTTTCCATGGGTCAGGACTGCAGGAAGGAGCTGAAGGACTTTGGCTTTTCCATTGCAGAGCTGCCCCTGCTCTTGGGTTGCAGCTATTGCATCCTGGGTCCCTCCTACCCCATAGGATGTGAGGAGCTGAGGGTCCCCATGGGACAGGCTGGTGGCCGCGTTGTCCCTGCCCTGCCAGGGTGCTGGGGGGATTTGGGCTGCAGCAGGATTTCAGCTGTCACTTGCTGTTGGGATGAGCTGCTGTGAGTCACTAATGCTGTTACTTGGGGTCGGAGGGGCAGAGCTGCTGCTGCGGGAATAGAAACACAAGTGTTTTAATGCTGAAAAAATCCTCTTTCAAAGGCAAAAGACCTGGAAGGTTTATTCTGGGGAGAAGATCGGTGCCCCAAAGCCAGGGTAGGGAGGGAGACCCCGTAAAGGCACTCCTGCTGCTGAGAGCATCTCAAGTGTCATAGTGGGGACCCTGGGCACCCTGAGGGTTGAGCATTGCACAGCCCACTCTGTGCAGCCACGGGACGGGGATCCCCAGGCTCTCAGAGACCTCCCCCTTTGGTCTTTTATTTATCATCTCCTTTTAGCTCCATCCTTGAGAGCCCTTTCAGGCCAGATGATGGTCCCAGAGTCCTGCCCCCATGTCCCCAAAGCGGCTTTGCAGCTACACCCAAGCTAAGGGGGTCCCTCCATCACCCCCCCTTCCTGAGACTGAAATGCAGCCCCTCCTCTCCTCTATCCCAAAACAAACCCAGCCCTGGGCTGCAGTAAACCCCCCTCTGCTTCCCACATCCCCATGGAGCTGAGACCCCTCAGCCTGGGCATGCAGGGCTGGATCCCAGCTCTGCAGTGGGATGGATGCTCCAGGAAGGACCCAGTGCTGGAAAGCAAATTCTGAGCTTCCCCAGGTTCAAATGCCCCTTGATGTGTCCCCCTTGAATGCTCGCTCTCCCTGTGGCCCCACAGGCACAGATGCTTGTGACTCATTGGTGGTTTCCTGGGCCCCTTTCCTGCCCGGGTGAGCGTGGCCACACTGGAGAGCACTGGTGCTCACTGGAAATGCAGCTGTGAGGGGACACAGACTCAGTGCTGAGGTCTGCCCTGACCCCAGGAGCACTCGAGGTGGCTCTGGGGACGTGTGTGTGTCCCCAGCGATGTCAGGGGGCAGCGGGACACCCCGGCTGCTGCTTTTTTCCCCCCCTGAATAAACAGGAACTGAAGTCATGTCTGCCTGCACTGCCCCCCCCCCATCTCTGCAGCTCCGGGGGGGCACAGCTTTAATGCGCCTTAGAGCAGCTGTGCCTGCGTGTGTGAGCGTGGAGGAGCAGCAGGGAGGCTCCTGTGGCCATTTGGGGACTAAACCAGCACCCTGAATACATGGGACAGCCACCCCATCAGCCATGGGCTCAATATGAGCAGCCTGGGAAGTTGGTGGGGTAAAAAGCTGCTGTGGGGCTTGGGGAGTGATCACAGGCATGGCTGGGGGTCAGGAGCACCCGAAGAGGGGGACATCTTATTTGTGCCAGGCAAGGAAACAGGAAAGGGGATGAGCTCAGCCAGGCAGAGGGACAATGGGTGCCAGCATGCTCCTGAGCTCCAGTGGGTGCTGTGGGGTGAGGGTCGCAGCCCCACAGGTCCCCTCCTGCAGGGACCGAGCTTGGAGCACTGGAGTGACCCCACGGCACAGGAAGGGAAAATACTGGTCCTGCATCCGGAAGGGTTTCTGAAGCAGAGGAGCAGTGTGCCTGGGCAGGCAGCCCAGAGCCGGGCTCCCGCCTTTAGAAAAGCACACGTGGGGAAGTGCTCCCAGGAAGCAGAGGGGCTGGGGAAGGGACTAGGAGCTGCTGCCTGGGGTTTCTGTCCCCTGGTGCCAGCAAGGACAAATGGTGGGTGAGGAGTGGGACTTCGGGAGGATTCCAACCGGAACTGCTGCTTCTCCACCCCGGGATGGAGCGTTTGGGGCTCCATGGGAGGAGCAGAGCCCTGGCAGAGGGGTGCAGCAGCAGCAGGGGCTGGAGGCACGGCTCTCCTTACCCAGGCATCCCGCTCTGTCTCCATGCTCCCCCTGAAAGCCTCCAGGATGGATCTCAAAAGTTGTTTCCTTTCCACAAACAGGGGCTGCAGCTCCCCGGGGTGGGAGGGTGGCACATCCCCAGGGCTCGCTCAGAGCCCCCGTGGCCCCAGGAGCACCCTTTAACACCTGCACCCTCTTGGTCCCCCCAGGAGGACAGCGCAGACCTTAAGTGCCAGCTGCATTTTGCCAAGGAGGAGTCGGCCCTGATGTGCAAGAAGCTGACCAAGCTGGCCAAGGAGAACGATGGCATGAAGGAGGAGCTGCTGAAGTACAGGTCCCTGTACGGGGACCTCGACAGCTCCCTCTCGGTGGAGGAGCTGGCCGACTCTCCCCACTCCCGGGAGGCCGAGCTGAAGGTCCACCTCAAGCTGGTGGAGGAGGAAGCCAACATCCTCAGCCGCAGGATAGTGGAGCTGGAGGTGGAGAACCGCGGGCTGCGGGCGGAGATGGACGACATGAAGGGCCAGGGGGACAGGGAGCTGCCGGCGCAGGACATGCGGTTCCTGGCGGGCATCACAGGCTGCGGGGACACGGGCGACACGGTGGCGGAGCTGCGCCGGCACCTGCAGTTCGTGGAGGAGGAGGCTGAGCTGCTGAGGCGCTCGCTGCTGGAGCTGGAGGACCAGAACAAGCTGCTCCTGAGCGAGCTCAGCAAGTACAAGTCGGAGCACGACCTGGACGTGACGCTGTCGGAGGACAGCTGCTCGGTGGTCAGCGAGCCCTCGCAGGAGGAGCTGGCCACGGCCAAGGTGCAGATCAGCGAGCTGAGCGGCAAGGTGAAGAAGCTGCAGTACGAGAACCGTGTCCTGCTCTCCAACCTGCAGCGCTGCGACCTCGCCTCCTGCCAGACCACCCGGCCCATGCTGGAGACGGACGCCGAGGCCGGTGACTCGGCGCAGTGCATCCCCACCACCAGCTGGAGGGACAGCACGAACGGCGGCGAAGCCGATGGGCTCGGTGGTGGGAAGGTGCCCGATGGTCCAGCCAAGCTGCTCAAGCCCAAGGATTTGGAGACCTTGGTGGGCATCCGGGACCAAGCGGTGCTTGTCAGCAAAGCGATCAACATCTTGATTTCGGATGCCAACGGCTTCACCTCTGGGCTGAAGGCTTGCTTGGATAACGAGTGTGTTGGGGGGCTGCTGGGCGAGGCGGTGGGCAGCGGAGGTGAGAGCCCCAGTGATGCCAAGCTGATGAACGTGCTGCTCATGCGGCTGGGTGTGCTCCAGCAGGACCTGGGCTGCTTCGTGAGGAAGGTGGATCACCTCACCAGCAGCCTCAAGGAGCACACAGACTCTTTCAGCTTCTCTGGCCCCAGCAGCCACGACACCACCAAAGAGGGGCTGCAGAAGGAGCATGCCTCTGACTTCCAGGTACGGGCTTCTTGCCGCATCCCCTGCAGCAGCCACCGCTTTATTTGCTGCCCTGTTTCCTCCTGCTTTAATGGAGCAAACTCCAACCCCCAATGTAACCTCCTGCTTCTCCAGAGTGAAACCCAGACTAACACCTCACTGCATGCCAGGGGCACCGAGGACAAGGTAGGACTCTGCTCCAACAGAGTGTGCCCAGGGCAGGATGGGGTGGGTATCCCAGCACATCCCCGCATGGGCTGGTTGTGCTCTGCCCGTGGCCAGTGGCTCTTGGGTGTAATCTCACCTTAGCAGGGGCTGATGTTTTGACTGCTCTCTCCCAGCTCAGCCCAGCATCCCCTTTGCTTATTGGGGATGAGCCTCAATAACAGCAGCCCAAATTGTGGGGACCCTGTTTGCAAGAAGCCTCAGTCCCCAGTGGTACCCAGGCAGGGTAATTTGGAGAGCAAAGGCTCCAGGGCAGATCTGCATCCGATGGAGAGTACCTTTGAAGCAGTGGAGAGCAGCTTTGCTTTGTCTTCACCCCTTTTTCCTGGGGGTCCCTCATGGCAGGGACCAGGGATGTCCATGGTGGCTGAGGCTGTGGGCCCAATCCCGTTTCTGGAGCACACTCGCTTGTTCAGAGTCCTATTTTCCTGCATGTGGTCCCACCAGCCCCAGGTCCCAGTCTCCCCCAGTCACTGCATGGCACCATAACTGGTGTTTGCACATTTTTTCCCTCTTTCTCTCTTTTTTCCCCCTTTTCCCCAAACAATCCAGGCCACGTGTCTCCTCATCCTGTGTTTCCTTTTGGTTTCCGCCTTGTCTCCCGCCATGGTGATGAAGCTCCTTCTCCTCCTCATCCTTTTTGTCGTCTTGTAGTTCTTTACTGTTTCGGAGACCCATTGTTTTGTTTTCTGGCTTTGTTTTCTTCCCGCTCTTTTGGTTTGTTCTCATTAACTTGCCCACGCATGCAGCAGCCTGATTTTAGGGACGCCGACCCTTACCGCATGCCCCACGCCAAGGACACGGACCCCACACAGCCCCGGAGCTACAGGACCTGCAGGCCCGAGGAGAATGACTCCTATGCCACCGAGGTAAGAGCCACATCCCCCCTTGGCCAGCAGGGATGGGGATGGGGCTGCGGGAACGGGGCTGTCCCTCTGGAGAGCTGGGGACACGGGGAGGCCAGGTCACCGTCCGCAATCCCCTCTCCGGGCCGTTGCAGATAAAGGAGCTGCAGCTGGTGCTGTCGGAGGCCAACGAGAGCCTGCGGGGGCTGCAGGAGCAGCTCTCCCAGGAGAGGCAGCTGAGGAAGGACGAGGTGGACAACTTCTCACAGAAGATCTGCCAGGTGAGTAGGCAGCAGCCCTGATACCTGGGAGACAGGTATCCCTGCTCCCATGGCCAGGGACACCTCCAGCCCCAGGCTGATGATCCACCTTAGGGCATGGGTGTCACGTGGATGTCACCCAGAGCTGCACAGAGCGCAGTACCCACCTGCTTTGTGTTGGAAGGGACCTTAAAGCTCATCCAGCTCCAACCCCTGCCACGGGCAGGGACACCTTCCACTAGAGCAGCTTGCTCCAAGCCCCTGTGTCCAACCTGCCCTTGAACACTGCCAGGGATGGGGCAGCCACAGCTTCTCTGGGCACCCTGTGCCAGCGCCTCAGCACCCTCACAGGGAAGAGCTTCTGCCTAAGAGCTCATCTCAGTCTCCCCTCTGGCAGGTTCAAGCCATTCCCCTTGGCCTGTCCCTGCAGGCCCTTCTCATCGTCCAATACCCCCAAGTCCTCTTCAGGGCTGTTCCATCCCATCTTCAAGGGGCACAGGGTCTGTGCACACTCCTTCTTGCACATGGCTATGCAGCTTCCACCCATGACAATGCCTCGATGTTCCTGCTATCCCCAGCACGCTGCCAGGGCAGCGCAGCTCCCCAGGGGTGTTAGATATGAGGCTGGCACCAGGCTCAGCCCACACCCTGGGGCAGGGGCCCCACGCTGCTGTGCCAGCCCCTGTCTCAGATCCCACATGTCTCTCTGCAGCTGAAGGAGGACCACCAGAAAGCACTGCTGCGGCGCGAGTTCGAGCTGCAGAGCCTGAACCTGCAGAGGCGGCTGGAGCAGAAGTTCTGGAGCCAGGAGAAGAACCTGCTGGTGCAGGAGTCACAGCAGTTCAGGCAGAGCTTCCTCCTGCTCTTCATGAAGCTCAAGTGGTTCCTCAAGCGCTGGCGCCAGGGCAAGATGGTGCACAGCGAGGGCGAGGACTTTTTGGAGGTACTGTGGGCTGAGGGGCTCCCACGTTGGCTGCTGTGGAGGGGTGATCACGCTGTTGGGCATCCCTCCTGGGCACGTGTCCCACCCAGAGCTGGTTGATGTCCCCATCCCATGCTGTGGGGGCCCCTCATCACCCCAGCCATGATATCCCCACAGGTGAACAGCATGAAGGAGCTGTACCTGCTGCTGGAGGAGGAGGAGCTCGCCCCACAGCAGCAGGCAGACAACAAGATGTGCACTGGGGATGCTTGGACCCCCAACACGGTGAGCAGGGTCCCCATGATGGGGTAGAATGAGCCCTCGTTGAGGCTGTAGGCATGGGCTGGCTGCTCCTCTCGGGTGCATGGCTGGGAGGGGATGCTACCCGCTGGCATGGCACCCCAGGGGTGGTCCCGTGCCCTGGTGGTACCTGCTGTCCCTCTCCCCGGGGCTGGTATGCAGAGAGAGCAGCTCCCAGTGGGGTCCCACCAGCTCCCTCTGACCTCCCCCATCCCTCTGCAGCCCAATGAGTGCATCAAGACGCTGGCGGAGATGAAGGGGACCCTGCAGGAGCTGTGCACAGAGCTGCGGGAGGAGCGGCGCGGTGCCAGCGAGCTCCAGCAGCAGTTCACCAAGGCCAAGGCTGCCTGGGAGATGGAGCGAGCCGAGCTCAAGTGCCACATTGCCCAGGTGGGAGCCCCGGGCACCCCCCTTTGCTGGGGGAGCCGGGGGGTGCCTGTGTGCCAAGCGCTGGCATCTGGGCAGGGCTGGGAAGAGGGTGGCACTGTGGGAATCTCAATTAGCAGCCGCTCTGGGAGGCGAGTTTCTATGGCAACGGGGCTGGCAGGAAAACCTGACTGGAGCAGCAGAAGATGCTCTTTATTCCTCACTGCGTTTGTCTGGGGCCAGTGGGATGGTGCCGGGGCTCAGTGTCCCTCCCCACAGAGCAGCATCAGAGCCCTCCTGTTTTCCTGTGTCATGGTGCAGGTCAGAGCTCTGCACCCTCATGGGTGCTGCAGGGGGGATCTATGGTAGGGGGTTGGAACTGAATGATCTTAAGGTTCTTTCCAACCCACCTCATTCTGTGGTTCTATGGCAGAGGCTAGGGAAGGAGGTGGAGGGAGAGCAGCCTCAGCACTGGGGGAATCTCCTGCTGCAGAAGCTGTCTCATCAGTGCCCCAGCCTTGCCCTCACAGTGATGAGTGTCTTTGCTCCCTCACACTGCTGGCAGCAACCCATGGCCATACATCAGCTCCGCTCCCCAGCACCTTCCAGGCGGGATTTCTCCAGGCAGAGCTCAGTGATGAGCTCAGTTCCCTTCTCCCACCCCTAAAAGAGCAGAGCTGCCACAGTGGCAACCCCCCAGGTCCTTCCTGGCTGCCAGCAGCAGCAGCATCCTTGGGGTCCGCTCTACCGGCCCCTCTCCAGGAGCTGGGTCCAGTAGGCAGGGCTGCAGGCAGGGCACAGCCGAGCAGGCAGCACATTCAGTCCATGTCCCACTGGGTGACCGTCTGCCAGCCCGTCTGGCAGGACGTGGCTGCAAGCCAGGGCTGCACAGCCTTGGGGACACCATTATTGGCTTGGGCAGCATGGGATCTGCACCGGGAACCCATGGCCTTGCCCCTGTGCTGGGGATGTCCAGCACCATGGGTCCCCCACATCCACCACCATGTTCCTGCAGCTGGAGTCCAAGGCAGGCAAAGGGATCACAGAGCGTGCGCTGCCGGATTGGAAGGTGGCGTTGAAGAGGGAGCGTGAGGAGCACCAGCATCTCCTAGCTGAGTCCTACAGTGCTGTCATGGACCTCACCAAGCAGCTGCAGATCAGCGAGAAGAACTGGAACCAGGAGAAGGTGGAGCTGCTGGCCCGCTTCAAGGAGGAGCAGCAGCAGGCAGAGCAGCAAGCGAAGGACCTGCAGAACAAAATCAACCAGGTATGGTGTGTCCCCATCGTGAACATGTCCTCCAGCCTCCGCTGTTTGCCCAGAGGGCCACATTCCACATGTTGAGTGACCAACACATTCTCCAGTTGCAGAAAGGAACCAACCCATGGGCATTGAAGCACTCTGAAATGGAGAAGCACAGCAGCAACTGGAAAGAGGTGGGCAGGAGAGGTTGGAGGGCTTGAGTGTATGTTTAGATATGGTTAAGTGTATGGGGTATGGTTAGATGGGAGGACATGGGAACCCCAAATAACACCCCTGGAACACCAAATGAAGGGGAAGCACCAGGGACTTGGGGGAGTAAGAGGGTGGAGAGCATGGCTGAACATCAAGGGTTATAAAGAGTTGACTTATAAAGATGCGGGCACAGTGGGAATGGGATGCTAGGCCTGGATGCATGGGGGAAGGTGGTAGTGCTGGAGAGAAGCAGGGTGCAGCAGTCCCTGCTCCAGCCCATCTGTGTACATTGGTCCTGTGCCTGCTGACACCAGAGCTTGCTTCTGTGTCCTTCCAGGCTCTCAATGAAAAAATCACAGACAAAGAGACAATCTCTGAAGCAGAAGCTAAGGGAACCAACCTCAAAAGGTGAGTGAGCTGGTGCCTGCATGCTCCCTGGGGCATGGAGGGGGCTGCATGGGGCAGTCATTGGGCTTGGCAGCCCCAGCAGCTGGGGGAAGTGTAGCTGTGGGCCAGGGTTGCCATGGAGGCCAAGGGCTCCCATGAGGAGTGGGACTGGGTGCTCAGGAGAGCCCCATTATGGGGAAAGCGGGGTGCCTCCAGCTGCCTCCCAACCCACTGCCCTGTCCCCTTGTGAGCTCTCTCCTCTCTCCTCCCACAGGACCAAGTCTGTTTCCTCCATGTCAGAGTTTGAAAGCTTGCTTGACTGTTCTCCCTACCTCCCTGGAAAGACCACGCCAGGGCTGGGCGACCACTCCCGGGGCAAAAAGGCATCTGCAGCTGCCCAGCTGCTGCCCAACGGCATCCGGGACAGCGCTGGCCTTCCTCCCTCCCACTGTACATATGTGAACATTGAGCAGCCTGCCCCCGACAGCCTGGCCAAGGAGAAGCTGGGCATCTCCTCCTGGGACTACTCATGGGCACACAGCCTCTCCGCACACGACCCAGCCCAGAAGCAGATGCAGAGGAGCTACACAGCACCTGACAAAACGGGGATCCGCATCTACTACAGCCCGCCGGTGGTGCGGCGGCTGGAGGCACCGCTCGTGCACAGCAAGGAGGGGAAGATCATGATTGAACCTGGTTTCTTGTTCACCATGGCCAAGCCAAAGGAGCCGGAGGAGTCGGCCAGCGCTGAGAGCACCTACAGCCAGTGGCTCTGCAACTTCTCCAAGCAGCAGCGGGAGCTGCTGGACGCTGGCACAGTGGAGAGCGCGGTGCCGCCGGTGCCCCGCTTCCCCCCGTCACTGCACGACCTGGAGATCTCCGGCAACATGAGCGACGACATGAAGGAGATCACCAACTGCGTGCGGCAGGCCATCCGCTCCAGCTCGCTGGAGAGGAAGGTGAAGAGCACCTCGAGCCAGACAGTGGGGCTGGCCCATGTGGGGACACAGACCACGCAGACGGTGAGCATCGGGCTGCAGACTGACCTGCCGCGTGGCAGCAGCATGCACAGTAAGAGCTGGTCCCCGCGCACCTCCTCCCTCGTGTCCGTGCGCAGCAAGCAGATCTCCTCCTCCCTGGACAAGGTGCACTCCAGGATTGAGCGGCCGTGCTGCTCCCCGAAATACGGCTCTCCAAAGCTCCAGAGGAGGTCTTCCTCCAAGCTGGATGCCTCTAAGGACAGGAGCCTCTGGAACCTGCACCAGAGCAAGCAGAACGGCTCTGCCTGGGCCCGTTCCACCACCACGCGCGACAGCCCCGTCCTCAGCAACATCAATGATGGCTTGTCCAGCTTGTTCAGCGTGGTGGAGCACGCGGGCAGCACTGAGTCCATCTGGAAGCCGGGCTGCCCTGAGAGCAGCCGGGCCAAGCCCGAAGCACCCAAGTACGGCCTCGTGCAGGAGTTCTTCAGGAACGTGTGCGGGCGGGCGCAGAGCCCCACTGCCCCCCCGGAGAAGAAGGAGACCCCAGGGGAGGAGGGCAGCAAGAGAGCCGAGCACCCCGGCCCGGCCACCCACCACCCAGCAGAGAGCATCTCCCGCGGCTTGAACAAGAAAGTGCTCAAGCAGAGCAGCTGCGAGGACCCCAAACCCTCGTCCCCCGGGCAGGGGGGTAAGGACGCAGCCCTGCGGGACCCCGACCTCATCTCGGCCATAGCCAGCGAGGTAACGAGGCTGGGTGCCCCCCGGGCTGCCCCACTGTGGCGGGGGACAGGGTACCTGGCCCCTCTAACCCCCCTGTGCCATCTGTCTTTGCAGGACATGGCGTGTGACTGCAGCTCCCAGTCCCTCACCTCCTGCTTTGCCCGGCCGTCCCGCTCTGCGGTCCGCCATTCCCCATCCAAGTGCAAACTGCACCCTGCGGACCCCCCCAGGGCGGAGGAGAAGCTGGGGGCCTCGAGTGAGTGAGGCCGGGGGCCGCAGCGTGCCTGCTATCCATGCTCCTGCTGGGACAGCACCCGCGCTGACGCCCTGCGGGGCCCCGCTCAGAAGCGGTGTGGGCACATGTGTCTCCTCACCGTGGGCACATCTGTCTCCTCACCGTGGGCACATCTGTCTCCTAACTGTCCCCTCACCTCTGGGGACGCTTGGGAAGCAGATGTGGAGCCGGCTGCCGGTAGCCCTTGGGGAGCATGGTGACATCCACCGTGGTGGCTGCTTCACCTCCTGTCTGTGTGGGACGCGCTCCCATGGAGCTGCTGCCAGCACTGGGGGGGTCCTCACCGGTGCTGATCCCTCTGGGAACATCAGCTGAGATCCCACCATGCCGAGGGCTTGCTGGGGCCTGGAAAGGGGAGAGCAGCCGGGGGGCTGCTTGTGTAAATAGGGCAGGGCTGGGGGAAGCACGCTGGGGACACTGGATGGATGCAACAGATGGGGGCATGATGCCGTGTTGGCCCCGCAGCTGCTGCCAGTGCTGCCCATCCTGCGGGAGCTCCAGCGCATCCCTGCCCGCCCCGGTTGCAGTGTGGTTGCATCAGCCTGGGCCGCATGTGCTTCCCAGGCAGGAAGGAGGCGGGGAAGGTCCCTGTGGTCACCCAGGCTGGGCTGGGCTGGATGCGGGGCCCTCCCTGGCCACCCTTCTGCTCTGGGGGGGGGGTGCTGAGGTCCTGCAGTGCCGGGAAGGGGCCAGGTGTCCCCCTGGATCATCCGGATGCAGAGATGGGATGTCTGGGTGCACAGTGTGGGGAGAGGCAGCTTGTGCCTCTGTGTGTGCACACTGATGTGTGCGTATCTCCTGCCACCTTCGCAAGGGGCCACGGCTGTGGTGCCCTCCTGCACTGCACCCACCTCCCTGCCTGGGGCCACCTGTAGTTATTTTCTCCTCCAAGTGCTGAATATCCATACTTCTCTTTCTTTTTTTCCTCTCTTTTTTCTCTTCCCCTCCCCTTTTGGCTCTGCCCAACTCCAGACAGCCTGCAATGTAAAACCAAGTGCATTTTACAGACACCGAATGGAGCTGCCTGGGACAGGCACCAATTGCATTAAGAGATTGTGGGTTGGGAGCTGCAGTGGGGTCCCCAGTCACCACCAGCAAAAGCCTTACCTGGGGAGGGAGGGGGATAGCAGCCACGGCCCCCCATGGCAGTGCAGAGCTCACACAGGGCAGCCCCTGGAGAGAACAGCAATCCTGGAGGCAGCTGCCTGACCTATTTCCAAGCTGGTGCCAGGGGCCAGGCAGGGATTCAGGGAGATGGAGCTGCCTGTAGGTGCCTCCAGGGGCTCAATGCAGTGCTCTAGGACTCTGTACACTGCTCTAGGGCTCAGTGCATTGCTCTAGGGCACGGTGCATTGCTCTGGGGCTCTGCACACAGCTTCTAGGGCTCTCTACACTGCTCTAGAACTCAACACATTGCTCTAGGGCACGGTGCGTTGCTCTGGGGCTCTGTACACAGACAGCTCTATTGCTCTGTACACTGCTCTAGGGCCTCTGCACATTGCTGTCATCTTGCAGCCTGGCCTCAGAGGCACTGCTGCAGCTGCTGCCCCTCCTGCTCCGGCCCCACAGCAGCATCACTGCCAGGTCACAGCCTCTGCAAGCATCTCCGGGCCAGCCGCTCACTGCCTGTGTCTCTGGACACACCAGCATCAGCCAGGGCCAGCAGGCCCAGCACTGGAGGCCTTTAGCTCCTTGGGGCACCTGGCCAGCCCCTGGGGGACCCCCGGCTGTGGGACACATGGGGCAGGTGCTGCCCACCCTCACCAGCAGCATTCCTGCCATGGAAGTGGGGTTCCTGCACTGCCATGGGCAACCTGCTGTACATAGATCCTGTTGGGGTGGTTTTTAGCATTTTCATTGGTAACAGGGGGGTTGGTTTGGTTTGGTTGGTTGTTTTTTTTTAAAGACTCTACTTTCAGAATGTGGTTTCTCATTTTTACACCTGCCTTTGAATGATTTGTAATATTGGTCGCTTCTGTCTGACTGTAAATAGTGGTGCTGGTGTCTCCTGCGGGGTGGGGGCTGAGCTCGTGCTGGTGATGGGGCTGCAAAAGCAATGGGGAGGGTTTGCTGGAGGTGGGGAGGTGGCTGGTGCTGCCCCAGCCCCTCACAGCCTCTGCCCCGTCCCCCCCGCGCCAGCGCGAAGCCCAAGCTGCTTTGGGCAAAGCCACGCTTGCCCCTGCCCTGTCCTGCTTCCTCTCGCCAAGGTCGCATGAAGGGCTCCTCCTGCCCCGATGACAGGCCCCTGTCCCTTGCTTGTCGTGTGATGAATAAAGGCCCTGCAACCCCTCAGCCCTGCCCTTGGTGCTGCCTTCCCCTGCTGCAGGGACAGGGGTGCCTGTCCTGCCTGGGGCACTGGTGCTGCTGGTGGGGGGGAGGTTGGCACCCACGGGTGGGGAGATGGAGGATCATGGAATCACAGAACAGTCTGGGTTGGAAGGGACCTTCAAAGCTCATCCAGCTCCAGCCCCCTGCAATGAGCACAGGGACATCTTCAACTAGCTCAGAGTGCCCAGAACCACGTCCAGCCTGGCCTGGAATGGCTGCAGGGATGGGGCATCCCCCACCTCTCCGGGCAGCCTGTGCCAGTCTTTTACCACTCTCACTGTAAAGAAATTTTCCTCACATGCACCCTGAATCTCCCTCTTTTAGTTTAAAACCATCACCCCTCAGCCTGTCACAGAGGGACAGGACCTAGACCCTGTCAGCTGCCCAGCCACGCACTGTATCACATCCTCTCCTCACCCACCCATCTCCCCACCACCATCCCTGTGTGCTGACCTCAAATGGTCTCTGTCATCACCTATGGGCCCTCCATGGCCTCTCCACCAGGGCTGTCACCACACCACTTGGCTCTGCATTGTTCTTGTGATGCTGGTGTTGCTCATGCCTCCCCTGTCATGTCCCATCCTGCCCAGCAGCTCACCTCAGCCTGCACAGGGACCCCGCATCCCCTTGCCCATCTTCATCCCCCTACTTTTCCCATTGTCCCCCATCCTTCCTTATGCCTCAATACTGCCCACTGTTTTCCTGCTCTTATTCTCCATTTCTATCCGCCCAGTCCTTGTTCTCCTCCGACCTCTTTTCTTCTTTATTGTCCCCCACTTCCCACTGTATTCCACACCTTCTCTCTCGTCCTCCATCTCATACCTCTTCTTCCTCCACCTCAGTCTCTCTCTCCTTCCCGTGAACCTCCACCTCCCATTGTTACTCCTCCTTTTCCACGCTCTTTCACCTCTTGCTGTCCCTCCTCATACTTGACCTCTGGCTTTCTCCCCATCTCTTGGCGTTCACCTCCCAGTCTCCCTCGTACTCCTCCACCTCTCAAGTCTCCCCATCCCTCCTTATTCTCCAAGTGTCCCACCTACCTCACAGATTTCCCTTCCAGCCACCCTCCCTTACCCCCAAGCATCCTCCCTTCCTCACACCTCCCTCTCTTACTGTGCTTTCATTTCTCACATCCCAACTGCATCTTGACCTCCCATCTTCTCCCAGCCTGACCTCTGCCATTCATCCTCTTCTCCTCCTTCCTCCCCTCACTCTTTTACTCCCAGCCCATCTGACTCCTGTTACTTTCTCCTCTTGTTCTGCTTCATCTCCCATCCCTCACTAACCTAGCAAAGCCACCACCAGCACTATGGGATGTGGGGCTGGGTTAGCTGGAGAATCAGCCTCCCACCCCATCCCCACAACTCAAGGCACTTTCACAGCAGGGGTGATGGTCACAGCTTGCACATTCATGCTGGACACCAAGAAACCCTTCTTAGGGCTGGTGCAGCTGGAACTGGTCACTGGGGAAGTGGGAGGATCCCTGCCCTTAGAAGGTTTAATTCAGCCAGATAAAGTCACCAGTGTCCTGATTTAGCATAGCAATAACTATTTTGGAACACAGAGCTTGGCCCAGAGCCCCCTGGGATGCATTCAAACACACACATGTCTGGGAGACTCCTTGAGCAGTGGAGGACTTCCAAGAGGAGCAAGAAAGGCGAGAGGTGGCTTTTGAATGCAGCACTTGGGATGCTGCAGGACATGAGGCTCTATTCCTGCCACATGCAGCTGTTCCATGGGGCTCAAGCAGGACCATCCCATGCTGCCCAAGCAGGCCACCCTCTCCGTCCTGAGCAGGATCACAGCCTGCCTGGGCAGGACCATGCTCCTCAAGCAGGACCACCCCATTGTTGCTCCAGCAGAACCATCCCTTGCTGCTTGAGCAGGACTATTCCACACTGCTTGAGCAGGATCACTCTAGTTAGCTTGAGCAGAACCTGCCCATGTTGCTCAAGCAGGACCAGCCCCTGTAGCTTGAGTAGGACCGCTCCAGGCTGTTGAAGCAGGACTGTCCAGCCTGCTTGAGTACCATGGGGCAGGCCAAAGTGGCTTCCTGAAAGACTGCCAGATCCCAGGCCAGAGAGCTATCTGTGACATGACCCCTTGGACCCTAAAGCCAGGGACACTTGCGTCATCTTTGTTTTCCTTCCCTGGGGCTGGGCCGTGCGGGGCCATGGCCATCCCTTTCCAATGACCTTATGGCTGCACGAGGGCACAGGGCTGCTGCCAAGGGGGGAAAAGGTCTCCTCTCATCCCAAGGGAGCCCCATAACCTGAGGGACCTGCCTGCAGGGCCTCCTGAGAGCATCCCACATCACTCACGCACAAAGACCAGCAGCCTCCCTTGACTGCAGACTTTGCCTTGGAGACTCCCAACCATCCCATGGAGGGGACACTGCCCCTTCCAAGGTGCTGTGTCTGAGGGACCATCCCCCTGCAATACAGGCAGTGTCTTGGTGGGCTGGGGGTGACCTTTCTAAAGCATTCCTGTCCACATGCCTTCCTGGCTGGGAAAACTGGGGGAGGGTGGAGGGAACTTGCTACCTGTGTTAGAAACTAGCTGAAGTTCTGTGTCTCCCCAAGCTGGGTTTCTTATTCCAACTGTTCAAACTGTTGTATATTGTACTGGGATTTTTACATGGAATTATTGTAGAAAAAACAAAAAATTAAACCAAGTCTGTTAAAAAATTAACATTAAAAATCTCTATGAAAAAAAAATAAAGGTGTCTCCAAGTCCTTTTCTTCCAAATGGGTCAGAGCAGTGATGTGTCGCCAGTGGTGGCTTTCCTGTTCCCAGCCCTGCCTGCCCCAGCCCCTGGGGACACCATCTATGGTGAAGATGCAGCTCCTGTGGTTGGTGATGTCCTGGGTGATGAAGGAAACAGCCCCCATCTCACTGCATCTGCCTGCCTGTGGACAGCCTGAGCCCCTGGTGCAAAGCAGCATGGGGTGTTTGTCAGTGACCCCCTTGGGTCCCCAAAAGTTGTGTCCCCACCATGGGGCAGGACACAGTTGAATGCCTGGAGCCCAGTTTTGTGGTCCTGGATACCGAAGATGTGGCTGGGATGGGACATGCTGCTGCATGTCCCCACTGAATGTGGGAGCAGCTCCCGGATGAGTGGTCAGCAGCCTTTCCCCCTGCCCGTGAAGCTGCAATCCAACAGGGCTCCACAGGAAATGGCCAGTCCCTGAGCCAGATCCCGGACCTGAGCTGCTCAGAGGGTTTGGTGCTGCGGATGCATGAGCCCACACCACCCTCTGGTGTCAGCACCGACCTCAGCTCCGTGCTTGTCCTGCTCCAGCCGTGTCCTTTTGCTCCCAGGTCTGCCTGGCTACCAGAGCATCCTTGCACCACCCCAAATCCCATTCCTACTTCCAGCATATGGACATCCCCACATGGCGTGGGGCAGGACATAGCCAAGCCAGAAGGAAGCAGAGCAAGAGTAAAGCAGACTTGCTTTGCTGGGTGCTGTCACCAGCCCTGGCAGTCCTACCAAGCACTTATGCAGCCCTGCTACCCCCCCCCCCCCCCCAGGCTGTCTGAGTGTGGGACATGCTCCTGTGCCCACATACCAGGGGTTCATGTCCACGTTTGGTATTGGGGTGCAGGGCTGGACACCAGCTTCAGGCACCCCCTCTGCCTCTGCAGGTAAGTAATGGCTTTCTTGCTCTTGGGTACTGGAGAAGCTCCTGGGCACGGGAGGAGCAGATGGTGCCAAGGGACAGCGTGGGGACAGTATGCCCGGTCCCCATGGCTGGGATGAGACCAGCCAATGTGCTGCACCATGAGATGTGGCTGCGTTGAACTCATGCCTGGAGCCTGCATCACTGGCACCTCAGACCTCACACTACCGGCACCGTGTGCCCTGCATTGCTGGCACTGTGGGCCCTACATTGCCAGCATCACAGACCCCACATCCCTGCCACTGCTGACCCTGCACTGCTGTCACCATGAGCTCTGGCACGGCACTGCTGCATGGCTGGCACCGCTGACACCACACTGCTGTCACCATGGGCTCTGGCACGGCACTGCTGCATGGCTGGCACTGCTGACACCGCACTGCTGTCACCATGGGCTCT